TGTGTGTGTGTGTGTGTGTGTGTGTGTGTGTGTGTGTGTGTGAGTGTGTGTGTGTGTGTGTGTAAAATGAACATCAGTTTGTCCGTTTCAACCCAGTCTATGTTCAGCTGACTGTAGCAACTTTATTCAACTGTACACGTTGTCAAACTACCGGCATACATAAGGAAACTATATTTTCACCGAGTTTGCGTTTGGAAACTTACATTTTGATTGCTTGTGAGTTTGCGATCAAGCTCGTGAGGCTGAAAAAGCATCGCTTACCTTGAAGCTGTGAGCCACACAGATGTCAGCGCTGCTGCGGCTTGATTCCGCTGAATGTCATGTGTTTGTGTTTGTGTTTGTGTCTCTGCTCTGAAGGCTCTGAGCAACACATCGACTCTCTACCGCCACCTGTCGCTCTGGAGATCAGGGATCATATACAGTCAGTGCAATAGTCATTCTGGGAAAACAAGCATCGCCTATCAAACTAACAAAAAAGGGTAGTAGCGTCGAAAAGCAGCGAAGCTATTTTCTAGTGATGGCTGATTTTGAAGCAATGCTTCGTGAAGCTTCGAAACCTTTGCGAGTCATGGGTCCTCCATAAAACACACAAAACAAGCAATGCAAATTAATAAAAGAACACATATTATACGGACACGTCATATTTAATGATGTGCTAATTTGATGATTTGTTAATTGTATTTAATTAACATATTATATTTTCAATAAAACATTTGCAAGGGGTTTTAAAACTGTTTTCGAATCTTTCGAAAAGGTTCATGCAGCTTTTCAGTAAAGCCCAGTGTTGGGGGTAACGCATTACAAGTAACGCGAGTTACGTAATCAGATTACTTTTTTCAAGTAACTAGTAAAGTAACGCATTACTTTTTAATTTACAAGAGAATATCTGAGTTACTTTTTCAGATAAGTAACGCAAGTTACTTTGTTTTCCCATTTTATTGACTGACAGCTCTCCTGTCCCCATGTTGGGAGAAATCGGGAGTACAGAGGCGCTGTGTGAACATGTTACTGTAGTTCTAGACTAAATGTGAACGTGATTAATTCATCCCACTCACAAAAAACAGATTTAGTATTCATCAAAATGAATTAAAACAGTGAAATGCAAACTCAGAATATGATGCAAACCTGCAATAATTAAATATGTTAAATAACACAAATGTATCTAATCCCAATTTATTAATCAATGTCTTTGCTGCTGACCTTTGAGGATCCAGTTCAACCATACTAATAAGCACAAATGACTTTAGAGAAACTAACAATTGTGCTTTGGTTTTGTTATTGCTGAAGAGTGCTTCTTCTCCTCCGTTCTACTGTACAAACGTGAATTTACTTTTGCTTCAGCCTGAGGTTTATTCATTACACTTTTTGGTGTGAAAGGGCTTTTATATTTGCTATAAATAGAACTTCTTATATTAAAAACAATCAAGCCCTGCTTATATTTAAAAAGTAACGCGAAAGTAACGCAAAAGTAATATAACGCATTACTTTCCATAAAAAGTAACTAAGTAACGTAATTAGTTACTTTTTTAGGGAGTAATGCAATATTGTAATGCATTACTTTTAAAAGTAACTTTCCCCAACACTGATAAAGACTATATTATTTTATTGATGGAGTAGTGGGGTTATGTTTCAGCGGTTTCAGTCATGTTTGTATATAATGTCAGTGGTTTCCAAATGGGACTTTTTGAATAATTTCTTATCTTATCAGCCGGTCAGAATCGATCAGAGTCGTTTTGGCATAAATGACTCACTCATTCAACTGAATCGCTTGGGCGGCTCAAAAAGTCATGAAAGTCATTATTAGTACCCATAGCACTATCCACCTACCTCATACTTCATCGCTAGTGGGATAGTGAGGACGTCACTTCCTGTTTGTTGCTGCTGTGTGGTTTGAGTTTGAGCTCCGTCAAGTTAATTCTTTGTCGTCCCATTTTTTATCTTAAAATCAATTTTATACACCATCCTTTTCAGTTCTATAACGTGTGAATATATCTCCTATCGTATTCTACAACAAAAACAATCAGAGCGCTTTGTTATCACTAGTTCTATTTTTGACTTCCGAGTCCGCTATTAGCATATAGCCCGCTAGCATCGCCAGCGTGGTTGCCGCTAATCTCGCTTACACTAATACTCTATTCACACACATTTCCATTGTTTTACTCACTGTTACTTTATCGTTGACATGATTGCAAAGATATTATTTAAACTGAGCTGGATGTTGACATCACTGAATTCAATGATGAACTGTCTTTAACTGAAAAATGAGTGTTTACTATTGTCACTTTGCATTATTGACACTATTTTCCTAATTAATGCTGTTCAGTTGCTTTGACACAATCTGTATTGTTAAAAGCGCTATATAAATAAAGGTGACTTGACTTGACTAGTGGGATACCGTAGCCATACTTTACCACTTATATGAGAATAACATAAAGAAATATAAAATAAACTCTTTTAATGTGTACTCCGCAGTCAGATGAAAACTGCTTCCCATGTTGACGACACACAAGAGGTTCACAGTTAAAATAGCCTATTCACTAATAACCATGAACTACACAAAATGCATGTTATATCTCTCTCTCACGTCCCTCACCAGTTTGGGTATCTATTTTGGTGGGAAAATATGCATTAAACAAAAAATACATTATGAAGTTAGCTTCCACTTAATCTAATGTCCCGCCCCCCCTCCCATTTTAATTAACAATAATAGAAAAATGCACAAACATTAGAACAAGAACAAGTAGGGGATACAGCAAAAAAAAAAAAAAGAATATAATTAAATAAGTAATAATAATAATAAAATAAAATGAAGTAAAATAAAAAAATATATAATCATACAGTCATTCAATCATTTTACAATTTTCTATAAGCTTTTGTAAAGGGCAATAGAATATACGGTGTGTACAGTATAAAAACCATTACGCCTATGGGATGTCCCCACTTTTCACAAAAACAAATCTGTGTGTGTGTGTGTGTGTGTGTGTGTGAGTGCGTGTGTGCGTTGTGTGTGTGTGAGCATGTGTGTGTGTGTGTGTGTGCGTGCGTTGTGTGTGTGAGCATGTGTGTGTGTGTGTGTGTGTGTGTACCTGGTATTTATCACGTTATGGGGACCAAATGTCCCCACAAGGATAGTAATACTAGTAAATTTTGAC